CCATTCGAAATCGGTTGCGGGCTGCCAATCTCCAATCGTGGGCCAATATTGACGCCGTTTCATCAACGTCAACGTCTGCTGTGGGCCCAACGTCACCTCCGATGGACCCAGAGTGACTGGAATTGAGTCGTCTTTAGCGATGAATCCAGGTTTACCCTCAGATTCGTGGAGGGCAGGCATAGAGTCTGGAGACGACGCCGTGAACGGTATGCCCAATGTTGTGTTTAGGAAGTTGACAGATTCGGGGGCGGAAGTTGCATGGTGTGGGAGTGCTTTCTGTGGGAACAACCGTTCCCGACTTCTGGTCATCCGTGGAAACCTCACGGCTGCTGCTTACTGCGACCAGGTGCTCACCCCTGAACTCGTTCCTTTCATGGCGGCTCATGGCCCAGGTCTACAGTTCCAGCATGATAATGCTCGGCCACATACCGCGATGTTGACACGAAATTTCCTTCAAAACTCTGGAATCAACATCACGGACTGGCCATGGAGGTCCCCTGACCTTAATTCAATAAAGCACGTTTGGGATGCACTTGGGAGAAGGCTTCATGGTCTTAGGAACCAGAATTTTGCAAGAACTTGGCGCTGCCTTGCAAGAGCAATGGCGCACAATCCCCAACCACGTGTTCACAAGCATCAGGCAGTCGATGAGGAGACGGTGTTTGGCAGTGGTGAATGCGCGGGGCGGCATACACGATACTGAGCTGAGAACTTTCGCATTTTATTCTTGTGACTTGACATTCTCTATACCCCTGTTTTAGAACGGCGGTGTAGCCTAATGGAACTGATTGTGGCACTGTCAGTGTATCGATTACATCTCAGCAATGAAATAATAACAATTTAACCACCTTACCATCTCTTGTTCTTTTATAGGGCCCTGAAGAAAGAATGTGAGTTTCTTTTTGATTCAGTATATTATAATGTTCAAAACCGTAACGCAAAAGTGGTTTTCAGATGTATATTGTATAAATAATCAACAGACCGTAATGCATTGTTTAAATCTGGCTTTTGACTGACCGAGGTTCAGATGTCAAGGTGAAGGTCATCTGTTAGCAATATCGCGTATAGCTCCCCTGAGAGTCAAGAACTGCATTGCATCAGCGCCCATCGGAATCAGATTACGAATTGTGGCCTGTGGAGTGTTCACCTTCTCCTCTTGCAATGCTTGTGCCAACTGTTGGAGCTCTGTGGCTGTTGCTGACGTGATCACAGACGCTGGTCAAGAACATCCCCAAAATGTTCGATGAGATTTAGATTTGGAGACCTTGAGGTCATGGCAGTACATGGGTGTTGGGCTTCCTCGTACACACGACGTCTTCCGTCATAAAACTAAATCACTAAGTCAACCACGTCTCCATCGATGTTGTGGACATACTCTGTTTCGTTGACACCAGTGACGTCCAATTGACGACAATGCGGATGAAGGTTCCATCAGCTGATAAGGTCCTGTAGTTTTGTAATGGTGTTAAGCGATGCGTGCAAAAACCTGGCTACGACCGAAGCCGAGTCGCCTGTCTGCAATTGACCGATTACATTGTTCGAGTTTCTCTCAGTTTTCACTTTTCACCTGCTTCACAGTTAAGATGACCGTCAGATGACAATCCATCTTTTCATATCCAAACCATTCATGTGACACGCTTATCTGATATTGGTTTGTTTGGCCACCACACTCCTCCATGGTTGCCTTTCCCCCACTATCTCAGCATTTTTTGGTCGCACCTATTCTTTTCCGAAGTATGTAAATAGTCCCAATGCATACAGACATGAGAAATTCATAATTTGATTTCAATTTGTTTACATATTAGCAGAATTTCGTCTAATTTTTCAACCTTTGCGAGGTGTTTTATGTTTGTTTCTGTCAGAGCGTATTTATGCTGTCGTAACTATAGCGTTAAGCATAATAACCTGATTTTGTTTGTCAGATGTAACGACTATAGCATCTACAACATATGGATCGTCAACGCTGTCATCAACGGTCGTGACGTCAAATTCGGACAACAGCAGACCAGATATTCAAAACAGTATGTTCTGACTTTATTTACATTTTCTTTTACCCTTTAAAATATCTTCATTTCATCTTATGTTAGTGTAATTTATCATCCAAAACTGTGTTCCACAGGAGATATCGCTTGTGTGAGATCAAACGATATCTCCTAGGATATCCTAGAAGATATCGTTTTGGCAGTAGATTTTGTACAATGCCCTGACAATGCAATGACGTCATGCACTTGATGACGTCACAATGCTATGACATCACTGCACTGCAAGTCTAATGGCAGTGCCATGTTCAGAGACGTACATTTTTCATTGAAAATTAATGAAGAGTGATTTTGGATGATAAATAGAATCTCACCCTCTTGTCTTCTGATATCAAATATATCAACACTCGTTGATAAAAGTAAAAATATCCTCGGCAAGCCTCGGATATTTGTAACTTAATCAACTCGTGTTGATATATGTGTTATCAGAAGACACTTGGGTGAGATTCTCCATATCTCGACAATAATGTTACCTTGAATCCGATGAACAAAGATCATGATCATGACAACACCCAAGGAGAAAGACTTTGCATGCAAATATAATGCACACATTTTACAGTAACGTGCATATACTGTTTAGCCTTTGGTTTTAAACCCGTAAAGATTCGAATTAGAACTGGTCTTCAGTAACCCATGCTTGTCGCAAGAGGTGACTAACGGGATCGGCTGGTCAGGCTCTCTCGTATTCCAATTGCGTAGATCGATGCTCATGCTGTTAATCACTGGGTTGTCTGGTCCAGACTCGATTATTTACAGACCGCCGCCATATAGCTGAAATATTGCGGAGTGCGGCATAAAAGTAAACTCACTCACTCACTCACCCTTTGGTTTTTAGAGGTGTTGCAAACCTAACTTCTTTGGTTCATATATATAAACATAACGTCACGTGTATGTATTTCCATATCAGGTTGCATAGAATCCCCCACGGATATCACATAACCTTTATCAGCGTAAAATTCCCTTTATCTTTAGTTTCTTAGCATCATTTATTAGCAATCAGATTCCACGAGGTTACATCCCCTGTACAGTGTCACGTGGATGGACATACCAGGGTGTCATAATAGATAATACAGTCGTCATAAGTGTGAAAGACTATGCACATAAAGATGTTACTTTTTCATTTACATTTTTTCCGGTATATTTCAGTATTTTTTAATGTAATTTTAGATCTTTATGAAAGTGTCAAAATTACGATGACTTTGCAGCGATACACTATAAACTTAGCAAACATCAATACAATATTACATAACTTTTAGTCTTCAGAGTCTCTATGAAGGCCATATAATACAACATCTCTGTAATTTGGATATACCTTATCTGAATATTGCTTTCGCCATTTTAAAATAGGAAAGCCAGAATTGTAAAACATGAGAGCAATAAACCATATAATGTCTGACAGTGTCAATATTGCCACAGTGTTCATACAGTGTACTTTCTTTAACCTTTAACTTGTTCAGATATATTGCAAGGCAAATTGAGTAAAGAATTTTAAACTGTAATTGTTTGTATTTATGTTCTAATTCTTATTCTTTTACAATTTTCCATTTATAAGTTGTATCTTCTGCCACAGAACAAATAGTATACATTGCGATTGGAGGGGGAGGTGCCTTCATTATTGTCTGCATCCTTGGAGTCGTATGTCTCAAGAGAAGGAGACATCATCAAGGTATCGTCTAAACTGTTCATTCATAAAACACATTCTCCCATCAGTGTGAAAGTTACTGTTCTGATCAGTCAATCAGAGGTATCAAATCACAACTGCTACTCATATTCAATGTCAAGTACATTTATTCTTTTCAAAATTGTGTGTATATCTTGTTAAATCATTTCCCTATGCGAAACAAAAGTAATTCATGACCGTTCATATTAACACCGTACACACAATTCAAACTCAGTGTTTGTATACTTCTTTAGGACACTCGGTAAAGGAGGATTGCCCAGTCATTCAGAATGAAAACTTGTGAGTTTTTTTACCCTTGTTGGGGAATCCCAGACTCTATGTGATTGGCAAAAACCTTGATTTTGAGGAACACGACGTTTCGGAGTATATCCTTACTCCTTCATCAGTTGAATGACGCAGGAGTAAGAATATACAATGTACTCCAAAAAGTCGTGTCCCCCGAAATAAAGAAGTTGACATCCATAAATTCTCGCCTTTATGTTTATCACTTCTAAATGCCGTTTAAAGACTCTGAACAACCTAAACATTGACGTGTAGTCAGTACTAGTGTACCAACAATGGTTAACAGTGTCTGGTCGTACATTAGCCAAGGTGAAGTGACCCTATGTTGAGTGACCATCAGTCAGGATATATCCTGGAAAATTTGTATGAATGATCCAAGCTATGGTGCTCCATAATCCGATTTAGTCACTTTTGCGAATTTGGTATAATTATGAAATCAGATGAACCATTTAATAAAAATTATGTTAAATTGCATATTTTGATATTCCCTCAGACTAGCTTCTTGAACATATGGTTACATGTACTAACACCTTTATTGTCCTTTTCTTAAAGTGAAACTGTGTGTGAATGAAATGTGCTGTAATAAATGTGTAAGTTTGTTCAAGGTATCATGATTGGCACTCGACAATAGGCAATGTTGCCAAAATACGTTCTAGTGTATATAGTTTTTATAGGTAATATACGTGTTTCGTCATAATTTAGGCGAGCCTTGTGGCTATGTTTGTTTTACCACAAAATCTCCATCATTTATCCGCAATTTTACTCCTCCGGGACTATTGTGTACATAAATTGAAAGGTAATCACCTCACGGTTAAATACTATGTCGTTGCAGATTTGTCAGTTAATGTATAAGCTCTAACCTTCATTTGAAAGTCAACATTTAAACAATATAATTCTAAGCAATGAAAAGGACGTTTTAGATTATATATCAAAATCTGATTTGATTTTGCTTTGAAAGTTAATTGAATGGCATTGTTGAAATTTGACATTTCTTTCAGAAACACAGCTTTCCAACACAACTCAATTGACGACGACATAATGGGTGAGAACATTTTATAGTTTTTACAATTAAATTTTAAGTGTGCATATGTCCAATTATATGTGGAATACACACTACAAAACCGAGTGTTGATATACCAATTTTGGCGAATATTAAAAATATTATATATGTGCGTTACTCGATACTGCTTCAAATTCCGTTGAATTGCAGTGGAGAATGACTTGTATGAGAGGTTGGCGGATGTGATCAGTCAAGCTATTCAGGATCCTGGGACAGCGGACGATCGTCAAGTCGAAGGTGTGTGTTTGATGACCAACATGAGTGATATGAGTGACGTCCACTCCATGCAGTGATATCGTTGGGATATTGCTCAAAAATACATCTTACCTACCCCATCACACTCCAAGACGTGGACCCGTGAAGATCCGGGGTAGAATAGGTCTTCAGCAACCCATGTGCTTGCCATAAAAAGCGACTATCTTGTCGTAAGAGGCGACTAACGGGATCGGGTGGTCAGGCTCGCTGACTTGGTTGACACATGTCATCGGTTCCCAATTCCGCAGATCGATGCTCATGCTGTTGATCACTGGATTGTTTGGTCCAGACTCGATTATTTACAGACCGCCGCCATATAGCTGGCATATTGCTGAGTGCGGCGTAAAACTAAACTCACTCACTCACTCCAAAACGTGCCCTCCCATACCCGGTCACAGGCCAAAGGAATCCTTCCCTACTCTGTCAGATCCCAGAACGAGCCCTTCCCTACCTTGTCACACGTCAACACGAACCCTTCCCTTATCTGTCACAACCCAAACTAAACCAGAGCAATGGTAGCGCAGGATTAACGTTGGTCATGACAAAGTTTAGAAGACAAAGCAGTGATGTTATTGTACTGTTCCTCCACTTTGTGTTCTCACTTTGACTGGGGCTGAAATATGGACATTGCATCCAGTTATCTCAGTCAAGATCAAGATAGGTTTATTGTGCATAAGGCCTCCGACCCGTAGACATAATATCACAATGACAGGCAAAGTATGGACTGTGCAGATAGTGGAACGCATTTTGTAATTAGTTGCCAGAAGAAATCAAACTTTTCTTAATGTCAACGAATGTGTTAAGGACAGGGCTAATTTTGTACAACAAACGTTATAGATAACAACATATTTTTTCGTGAGTGTGACGTTTCGATACAGATTCTTGTATTATTATTATTATAGGATATTTATACAGCGCACGAATCCAGGCAACTAGTGCTTGCTCAAGGCGCTGGTAATATTTCCCCTCGATCATTGGATGTCAATCTCAACAGCACATCGTATTATCAATCTCAACTCCCGTGGGAGCATACAACTCTTACAGCCAGTAGGCGCACCGAGTTATTGTGGCTTTCCCATCCTTACGGGGTACCCATTCACAGCTGGGTGGACTGGGACACATAGTCACAGTACTTTGTCCAAGTTCACTGCACGTTGCTGTACCCGCAACTTGGTGTTTGCATGTATTCATGTGGCCACCATCTGGTCAAATACCAACGGATTCGTGTTTTTTTAAGTGCACAGGGTTGTGTACTGTACACTAGGGGTTGTGACAACACTGAAAGAGTCTGCACACAAAGTTGACCCCAAGGTTTTTACACCCGGTCACAGGTGGCCTTGATCTCGGCACCTCAATCTCGCTGAATCAGTACCCTGGCACGTTAGCCAGCTCGCCCACCGCGCCCAATAATCGTTGTCAAGCATGCTGTTATCCACAAAGTTTGTTCTAAATTGTACTTCCCAACTTCTAAAATGCCACTTAAAGAAGGGCTAATGTTACATAAACAAATTCGTCTCCTGGTGATAAAAATCTGATAAGTGTTTCCCAAATAGTACGGTGTGGAATATACTCCTTTCTTAAATCGACATATGCATCACATATAAATAACAGATGACACTCATCTTTGATATCCGCCGTACAAATGGTATCCATTCCAATGACTTTAGTTATCTGTTTTCGTATAACATACACTGGAGCCGTGATTACAAATATGACTAGGAAGTGACTGCCATGTGTCCTAGAGTTCACCTGTTGTCACCTTCCACACTGTCCGTATGTTTCTCTAGGATACACTGTGAAGGAGGGTCCACCAGACATTGGGAATGGAAACAGGTATGTAATTTACCATTGTTGGGAATTCCAAACTCGATGTGACTATAAACACATTGATATCTATTATCACCCAACAATTATATTTATATTCCACGAATTGACAAAATTTAACCTTGCTTTTAAAGTTACCTGCATGTTTTTGTTGAGAATATATATTTGTATATTTCATCAGCCGATATATATTTATAAATTATATTTCTTGCAGTAACGCAACTCTCCAACACGACTCAAGTGACGACGACATAATGGGTGAGAACGTTCCTCTAGATTTCCAGATATGATGAGTAATTAGGTACATACCATATTTCAGTCAATACAACGAAACCTAGTGCTGAGATATTGATGTTTTGGCAAACATATTTAACACATACGTGAGCTGAAAACAATTCCGTTGTATTGCAGTGGAGAATCGCTTGTATGAAAGGTCATCTGATGTGATCAATCAAGCCACTCGGGATCTGGGGAACACAGATGGGGTCACAGGTTTGCAGATTTTACTTAATCTTTCGAAGTTAACTAAATATTTAGTAAATCACGTGCACCCATCTAGTTATGAAAGATTGTTAAACATGTGAATTGGCTTGAACCGGTCGTGGAGCCACGCCTGTGTCATGTAAATACTACCCGTGTTTCAGACGGCTTGAACCGGCCGTGGAGCCACGCCTGTGTAATGTACATACTACCCGTGTTTCAGACGGCTTGAACCGGCCGTGGAGCCACGCCTGTGTCATGTACATACTACCCGTGTTTCAGACGGCTAGAATCGGCCGTGGAGCCACGCCTGTGTCATGTACATTCTTCCTGTGTTTCAGACGGCTTGAACAGGCCGTGGAGCCACGCCTGTGTAATGTGTACATACTACCTTTGTTTCAGACGGCTTGAACCGGTCGTGGAGCCACGCCTGTGTAATGTGTACATACTACCCGTGTTTCAGACGGCTTGAACCGGCCGTGGAGCCACGCCTGTGTAATGTACATATTACCCGTGTTTCAGACGGCTTGAACCTGCCGTGGAGCCACGCCTGTGTCATGTAAATACTACCCGTGTTTCAGACGGCTTGAACCGGCCGTGGAGCCACGCCTGTGTAATGTACATACTACCCGTGTTTCAGACGGCTTGAACCTGCCGTGGAGCCACGCCTGTGTCATGTACATACTACCCGTGTTTCAGACGGCTTGAACCGGCCGTGGAGCCACGCCTGTGTCATGTACATACTACCCGTGTTTCAGACGGCTTGAACCGGCCGTGGAGCCACGCCTGTGTCATGTACATACTTCCTGTGTTTCAGACGGCTTGAACCGGCCGTGGAGCCACGCCTGTGTAATGTGTACATACTACCTTTGTTTCAGACGGCTTGAACCGGTCGTGGAGCCACGCCTGTGTAATGTGTACATACTACCCGTGTTTCAGACGGCTTGAACCGGCCGTGGAGCCACGCCTGTGTAATGTACATATTACCCGTGTTTCAGACGGCTTGAACCGGCCGTGGAGCCACGCCTGTGTCATGTAAATACTACCCGTGTTTCAGACGGCTTGAACCGGCCGTGGAGCCACGCCTGTGTAATGTACATACTACCCGTGTTTCAGACGGCTTGAACCGGCCGTGGAGCCACGCCTGTGTCATGTACATACTACCCGTGTTTCAGACGGCTTGAATCGGCCGTGGAGCCACGCCTGTGTCATGTACATACTTCCCGTGTTTCAGACGGCTTGAACAGGCCGTGGAGCCACGCCTGTGTAATGTGTACATACTACCTGTGTTTCAGACGGCTTGAACCGGCCGTGGAGCCACGCCTGTGTAATGTGTACATACTACCCGTGTTTCAGACGGCTTGAACCGGCCGTGGAGCCACGCCTGTGTAATGTACATATTACCTGTGTTTCAGACGGCTTGAACCGGCCGTGGAGCCACGCCTGTGTCATGTACATACTACCCGTGTTTCAGACGGCAGAACCGGCCGTGGAGCCACGCCTGTGTAATGTACATACTACCCGTGTTTCAGACGGCTTGAACCGGCCGTGGAGCCACGCCTGTGTCATGTACATACTACCCGTGTTTCAGACGGCTTGAACCGGCCGTGGAGCCACGCCTGTGTAATGTGTACATACTACCCGTGTTTCAGACGGCTTGAACCGGCCGTGGAGCCACGCCTGTGTAATGTGTACTTACTACCCGTGTTTCAGACGGCTTGAACCGGCCGTGGAGCCACGCCTGTGTAATGTGTACATACTACCCGTGTTTCAGACGGCTTGAACCGGCCGTGGAGCCACGCCTGTGTCATGTACACACTACCCGTGTTTCAGACGGCTTGAACCGGCCGTGGAGCCACGCCTGTGTAATGTGTACATACTACCCGTGTTTCAGACGGCTTGAACCGGCCGTGGAGCCACGCCTGTGTCATGTGTACATACTACCCGTGTTTAAGACGGCTTGAACCGGCCGTGGAGCCACGCCTGTGTAATGTACATACTACCCGTGTTTCAGACGGCTTGAACCGGCCGTGGAGCCACGCCTGTGTAATGTACATACTACCCGTGTTTCAGACGGCTTGAACCGGCCGTGGAGCCACGCCTGTGTAATATACATAATACCCGTGTTTCAGACGGCTTGATACGGCCGTGGAGCCACGCCTGTGTAATGTGTACATACTACCCGTGTTTCAGACGGCTTGATACGGCCGTGGAGCCACGCCTGTGTAATTTGTACATACTACCCGTGTTTCAGACGGCTTGAACAGGCCGTGGAGCCACGCCTGTTTAATGTGTACATACTACCCGTGTTTCAGACGGCAAGGGGAACAAGGTTCAGGAGGAAATTACACAACCCGACCCTGCTACCGCCATTCTTGACTCTGTTACCGCCATTCCTGACTCTGTTACCGCCATTCCTGACTCTGGAGATGCTCTGCCGATATAAAGTTTGCTAACGTACTCCTTCACTTGACCCTTTTAATATAACCCATGTTGTTTAGACCAACATGTTGTATTTGAACAAGTGCAAATCTGGTCTCTATCAATGGAAAAGGCAAACCCAGAAGTCCTCTTCAAGAGTGTATTCTCCCCCTAAGTTGCCATGCAATTTACAATCTCCATTCAAAATATTATTGTTAAGGATTACAGACATTACTTGATTATTAATTTAGTTGACACCGAGGAACTGAGTTCCAAGTGCAGTTGCTGTAACTTGCAGTGTTTTTGTTCAATGTTCAACATTATTCCAATTTCTTTATAAGGACTGATGAAATCGGTGGTAACAGTATTAAACTCCAAACTTGGATTTTAGTCGTGACTGGGGAGCAGTGGATTAGCCCTTGGTCGTCATGTCGAAGTTCCGCGTTCAAATCCAAATCTGCGTGCAATAAATTACGTTCATTCGTGTTATTCCATATTATTAAAAAGTTGCTCAAAAACACATCGTCGCGACCTTTCAACCTCAAACCTTCCTCACAGACCAACACGCTTAACCCCGTCCTCACAAAGTAATACACCACAACTCTCTTCTTCACAAATCAACACACTGATTCCTGACACTGTCACACCCAAAACATTTCCTTTTGTCGGTCAAAATCAAATCTTTGCACTCTGACACAATCCAAACCACAACTCCACCACTCTGACACGATCCAAACCACATCTCCACCACTCTGACACAATCCAAACCACAACTCCACCACTCTGACACGATCCAAACCACATCTCCACCACTCTGACACGATCCAAACCACAACTCCACCACTCTGACACGATCCAAACCCCATCTCCACCACTCTGACACGATCCAAACCACAACTCCACCACTCTAACAAGATCCAAACCACATCTCCACCACTCTGACACGATCCAAACCACATCTCCACCACTTTGACACGATCCAAACCACATCTCCACCACTCTGACACGATCCAAACCCCAACTCCACCACTCTGACACGATCCAAACCACATCTCCACCACTCTGACACGATCCAAACCACATCTCCACCACTTTGACACGATCCAAACCCCATCTCCACCACTCTGACACGATCCAAACCCCATCTCCACCACTCTGACACGATCCAAACCCCATCTCCACCACTGACACCATCCAAACCACATCTCCACCACTCTGACATGATCCAAACCACATCTCCACCACTCTGACACGATCCAAACCACATCTCCACCACTCTGACACGATCCAAACCACATCTCCACCACTCTGACACGATCCAAACCACATCTCCACCACTCTGACACGATCCAAACCCCATCTCCACCACTCTGACACGATCCAAACCACAACTCCACCACTCTGACACGATCCAAACCCCATCTCCACCACTCTGACATGATCCAAACCACAACTCCACCACTCTGACACGATCCAAACCACATCTCCACCACTCTGACACGATCCAAACCACATCTCCACCACTCTGACACGATCCAAACCACAACTCCACCACTCTGACATGATCCAAACCACATCTCCACCACTCTCCTGACACGATCAAACCACAACTCCACCACTCTGACATGATCCAAACCACATCTCCACCACTCTGACACGATCCAAACCACATCTCCACCACTCTGACACGATCCAAACCCCATCTCCACCACTCTGACACGATCCAAACCACATTTCCACCACTCTGACACGATCCAAACCACATCTCCACCACTCTGACACGATCCATGCATCTTCCCCTCTCAAACCACACGTTCTGCACCATGTCACCCCAAAAGTCCCTTCTTTGCCTGGCCTTCCTCACCTGAAACCAAATAATACTGGTTTGGACTGTGACAGGTTGGCGGCGTGTGATTGTGTTTGAAAATCAACAACAACTTTATTGGACGGAGCTATTCCACTGACCTTCGCTGTGAATGTTTTCACGTACACAAAATCGGTGGACACAGATATTTACAAATAAGTTGCTGTTAGTCGGCTTTCACACGTCGTCACCCCGCCACATCATCCTTGCTACTGACTAACATGTGTAAACTCGGAATATATTGTACAGTAAACTGAATGCAGATAAGATAAGATAAGATGAGATAAGATGATTTCTGTATTATCCCCAAAGGAAATTTCTTTTGAATCATATGCAGTTGTCCAGTTTATCTTTCAAAAGGCAGCCATATATAACATTGCAAGTGATAAACATTGTTTACAATAATCAGGATACCAATACATCAATTTAGTACACAAACATTGATATTGACTAGAATTTGGACAGTTGGAAAACAAGTCATTCATTGTTGTCAATACATCTAATACTAGCGGGAACAAATGAGTAGCGAACCCTAAAAGTATGTGAGAAGGCTCACTTAAAATTTTGTTTGCCTTTTTTAAAATTTGCTGCTCATATCAACTGCCGATACTCTCGACAGGAAGCCCAATAATTTTAGACGCAGTGTTTACGAGTTTTGAGAATTTGCTGTTATTCTTGACAGGCAGGTTCCCGA